TTTAGCTAATGATTCCAGAATTATATTGAATAGGAGTGGTGATAGAGGACATCCTTGTCTTGTACCAGATGTAAGAGTAAAAGATTTCAGTTTTTCCCCATTTAGAATTATGTTAGCCATTGGGTTTTCATAAATGGCTTTTACCAGATCGAAGTAGAGGCCATGTATTCCAATTTTTGAACATGAATGAGTGTTGGACTTTGTCAAAAGCCTTTTCTGTATCGATTGCGATGATCATGTGATTTATAGTTTTCGCTCTATTGATATAGTGTATTACATTTATAGATTTTCGAATGTTGAACCATCCTTGCATCCTTGGGATGAATTCTACCTAGTCATGATGCATGATCTTCTTGATGATTTTCTGCATTCTATTTGCTAGGATTTTATTGAAGATTTTTGCATCTATGTTCCTGAGGGAGATTGGCCTGTAGTTCTCTTTTTTAGTTGCGTCTTTCCCTGGTTTCATTATCAGTATAGTACTTTCCTCTAGGAATGATTTTGGGAGGATTGCTTCCTTTTCAATTTCATTGAAGATTTTGAGAAGTATAGGGACTATATCTTCTGTAAATTTCTTGTAGAATTCAGCCTTGAATCCATCCGGACCTAGACTTTACTTTGTCATTAGGTTTTTTATTACCTCTCGTATCTCATTGGCTGTTATTGGGCTATTGAGAGTGGCTATATCTTGTCGATTCAATTTTGGCAATTTGTAACTTTCTAAGAATCTGTCCATTTCATTTGTGCCTATTTTGTGAGAGTAAAGATTCTCAAAGTAGCTATTGATAATCTTCAGAAACTCCACATGTGTGGCAATTACATGCATTTCATTCCTTATTTATTTGTATTTGAACTTTTTCTTTCCTCTTTTTGATGAAGTTAGCTAGGAGCTTATTGATTTTATTTAATCTTTCAAAGTACCAGCTTTTCGTTTCGTTAATTCTTTGAATTGTTTTCTTCATCTCAATTGAATTAATTTCTGCTCTAATCTTTATGATTTCTTCCTGTCTTTGGGCTCTGGGTTTGGTTTACTTTTCCTTTTCTAGATGTTGGAGGGGCATCATTAGGGTGTTTATTTGTTCCCATTCTATTTTCCTAATGTGTGAATTCACAACTACGAATTTCCCTCTGAGAACTGCTTTCATCGTATCCCATAAATTCCAATAAGTTGTGCTTGAATTTTCATTGAATTGTAGATATTGTTGAAATTATTGTTTAATTTCATCTGTGTCCCAGTGGTTTCTGAGTAGGGTGTTGTGTAATTTCCATGTATTTAGAGGTTTTTCTATTTTATTTTTTTCAGAACCAGGGATTAAACTCAGGTACTTGCGCTTGCCAAGGAAGCACTTATTCCACTGAGCCATCTCCCTGGCCCCTAGAGGTTTTTTTTTTTTTTTTTTTCTGGTTTGTTTTGTCATTTATTTCCCATTTCATTGCACTGTGGTTAAATAATATGCATGGGACAAGTTCTGTTTTCTTGCATATACTTAAGCTTGACCTATGCACCAGTATGTGGTCTATTTTAGAATATGACCCATGTGCAGCTAAATGTGTATTCAGCTTTGTTTGGGTGGAACACTCTGTATATGTCCACCAAGTCCATTTGTTTCAAGCTCTGGTTCAGTTCTGTTATATCTTTGCTAATTTTTTTGTCTGGTTGACCCATCTTTTTGGGATAAGTGGGAGTTAAGTCAAGATTGTGATATTGGATATTAGATTGTGTTAAGATTGTGAAATATCAGATATTAGATAAGATTGTGATAAGATTGTGATATTGGATATTAGATTTTTTTGTGTCCATTGTTAACATTGTGATATTGGATATTAGATTTTTTTGTGTCCATTACGATTTGCTTTATGTAGTTGGGTGCTACCTTGTTTGGTGCATGCATACTTATGAGTGTTACCACTTCCTCTTGAATTTTTCCCCTAACCACTATATAATGGCCTTCTTTATTTCACTTGATCATTCTTGGTTTGAAGTTGAGACTGTCTGAGAATAGGATTGCTGCCCCTGCTTTTTCTGAGGTGTTGGCTGTGTAGTATTGCTTTCCATCCTTTGACTTTCACCCCATGAATGTCTTTATGAGGTAAATGTGTTCCTTGTATAGAGTATATTTTTTGATTTTGTTTCCTAATCCACTGTGCCAGTCTATTTCTCTTAATTGGTGAATTGAGTCTATTTACATTGATAGTTAGAATTGAGATGTATTGACTTACAATAGACATGTTATTTACCTGTTGTCATTTACTCCTTTTTCTCCTGTTCTTAGTTGTTTGCCCTATTTAGTTGGTTGCTCCTGATCTCATTCATGGAGTTCTAAGCATTTTGGTACCTCTCTAGAACATCTTTCAGTATTGTCTGTAGGGTTGGCTTGTCATCATGAAATTCTTTAGTTGTTCTTTGTCATGGAAGTATTTCAATTCTCCATCAAACTTGAAATAGAGTTTTGCAGGGTATAATAATCTGGTCTGGAATTTGTTTTCATAGAGGACTTGAAGTACTCTGCTCTGTGCACTTCTTGCCTTCATGGTTTGTGAAGAGAAGTCAGCCGTAATTCTGATAGGTTTTCCTTTGAATGTGATCTGCTTCTTTTCTCTAGCAGCTTTCAGTATATTATTCTTGTGCTAAATTTCTGGGATCTTGATTACTATATGTCTCAGTGTGTTTTTAATTGGGTTGAGGTTACTTGATGTTCTGTATGCTTCAGTTACCTGAATGTCGGATTGTTTCCTCATATTTGGTAAATTTTCTGCTATTACTTCTGCTCTTATTTTTTTAATGTCATTTGTATTGATTCCTTCTTTGTCTTTGATACCTATTAGTCTCACATTGTTCACCTTTGCATCATCTTGTAAGTGATGAATTAATTTTTCCTGCATCCTAGTTGTTTTTAAGAGATTATTTCTTACCTTTTCACTAGTTGCACTGGCATCTTCAAGATCTGAAACTGTCTTCACTTTCATTCAAGTGGTTTTGCAAGCTTGTGATTGAGATTTTAAGTTCCTCTATATCTCTTTGACTCTGCTTCATGCAATCTATTTATTTCCTGTATTGCTCATTCAAGTAATCCATCATTTTTCTAATCTCTTTTTTTGTATCATTGTCTCCTTTACAAGCAGTTATTAATTCTTTTACTGAAGTGTTTTTCTCAGATTGGGTTTCCTCCCTATATTCCTGTATTTGATTCTTTAATTCAGATGTTATGAGTTCAGAGAATTCTTTATTTCAGAAAATAATTCTGCTCTAAGTTCCTCTATAATTTTCTGCTATTGCTTATTTACTATTGATGCTATTAATTCATACATTACAGCTGATCTAGTGTCCTCTGCACTTGTTCTGGGTGGGCATTGGGTTTCCTCCATATGTTTCTGCTTTTGATTCTTTCCTACTGATGCTATTAATTCAGGGATTTTTCTGTCATTTCCAATCTGCATTCCTCTATACCTTTCTGCAGTTGTTTCTTTATTTCAGAAGCCATTGATTTATTGATTTCAGCTATGTGATTCCCAATTTGTTCTGTGTTAGTGTCCTCTGCACTTGTTATGGCTGGGCTTGGGGTCTGAGATTGCATTTTGCTCCTTCTGGTTATCATTTTGTATAGCACTATCTTCTGGCCTTTGTTGTAGAGCTTTGGTGCAGTTATAACCTTAGCACCTACTGAAATTCAGGTACAGATCTACAATTTTGGATTTATCCAACTGTGCCTGGCTTGGGTCTGGCTGCTGTGCTCAGCTCCTTCCTGCTGCCAACCTTGGGAAAGAACCTGTTGTGTCCATCTGTCAAAATGTTCTGCTCCTGGACTAGCTGGGTGGTTCTGTCCCCTACTCTTTCTGCAGGGACTGCAGCTGCAGGGTTTCACCCCAGGCCTGTATGCCAGGCCTGAGCTGAGTCTGAAGGGGCCAAGGTAGAGTAGGAGGAAGAGGAAGCTCTCCCACACACTGACTGGGCCTGAGCTATGGCTGGATCTGGGCATCCCCAGAACGTGGCAGAAATTCTCACTCAGTGGGCAGGGTTGGGGTTGCTGAGGAGTTATTTGGGGGTCCAAAGGAGGTGGTAGAAAGTCTCACCCATGCTGCACCTGGTCTTGGACCTAGGACATTGCTTTCTTATAGTCATTCACTGAGTATTTTCAATGAAGAAAACAGTGTTAAATTTTGTGAGTCTCTCTTCTGCGTAAATTGCAACAGGCATAATATTTTCCTTCTTTCTGTTAATGTTATGTAACATGAATTGACTTTTAGGTGTTGAGCTTCCCTTTGTATTATACTCACCATTTGCATACCATTTTTGAAATGACAAAATTACAGAGATGAAAAATGAAGATGTGGGTAGCAGTGGTCTGGATTCTAGGGGAGCTGAGGAAGAGGTTGTAGGTCTGATGATGAGCGGGTGGCAGGAAGTGGTGTTGGGGTGTTGCAGTAGTGCTTCAGTTTGTTGATCCAGGTGAAGGTTATAGAGATTCACTCATCAGACAAAGTTGACAGGATGATACAACATGGTCTTCTACCCATTCTAAGTTCCTAGCATGGGCACTTTACTGTGGTGGTGGAAGTTACAATCAGGAGAAATTGGGTGAAGGATATACTGGTTCCACAACCTATCTTTACAACTTTTGTGAATCTATAAGCAATCCTGAGTAAAAAGTTTTAAAAAACTATTATATCTTATCCTTTTGGTGGCATTCATAATAACATAGAAAATTCTTCCTAGAATACAGTAAGCTATATGTGCTTTCAATATACAGGTCTGTTAATCCTCTCAAAGGTGACTTTGGTGAGCACTGCTATTATTGCTGTTTCATAAATAGACCTCAGATCAAACAGCAGTGCTGGAATGAGCATACAGAAAGAAGCAAAGTACATCCTTTGTCAATGTGCTTGTTACAAAATCAGGGACTTTAAGGAAAATTGCAGTAAGTGTGGGATTTTCACAAGGGTTCTAATGTCGTAAATTATTCCACTTGGCTTATTTTACAGGATTTACTTTTGTTTTACAGTAAGAATGATGATACTAATCAAGTCAAGGACTGCCTGGTTCAACTGAAATGCCACTTTACATGGGAACTAGCAATTGAAAAGGCTGAAATACCCGATTTAGAAAGCAGGGTCTTGGAAGAGATTGCGTTCCTTGACACTAAGTACAATGTGGGAATTCACAACCTGCAGGCCTACGTGGAACACCTCAAGGGCCACAATGACAAAGCTCTACAGAGCCTGGAAGATGCTGAAAGGCTGATCCAGAAAGAACACGCTGACCAGCCCGACACAAAAAGCCTGGTGACCTGGGGCAACTATGCCTGGGTGTGTTATCACCTGGGAAGTTTGGCAGATGCCAGGATGTACCTGGACAAGGTAGAGAACACTTGCAAGAAGCTTTCAAGTCATATCCCCTTTCAGGTGAAGTGCCCTGAGGTGGACTGTGAGGAAGAATGGGCCTTACTGAAGTGTGGAGAAAAGCATTATGAGCGAGCTTTAGACTGCTTTCAAAGTGCTTTGGAAATAGAGCCTGAAAACCCTGAGTTCAACACTGGATATGCCATCACTGTCTTTAGACTGGAGAATTTTAAGAGGTACAAGAATGAGAGAGTGTCCTCCCTGGACTCCCTGCGAAAGGCTGTGAGGCTGAATCCTGAAGATGCATACATCAAGGTCCTCCTTGCCCTGAGACTTCAGGATGTGGGGCAGGAGATGGAAGGGAAGAATTACATTGAGGAAGCTCTGAGCCTCAAATCCTCCCAGATGTACATCTTTCGCTATGTAGCCATGTTTTATCGAAGAGCAGGCTGCGTGGATAAAGCTCTTGAGCTCCTTCAAAAGGCCTTGCAGGCAATGCCCAACTCTGCTTTCTTGAACCATCAGATAGGGCTTTGCTACAGAGACAAACTAGTCTTAAAAAAGGTAGCCACCAACATGCAGCATGCAGGCCAGGGTAGAGAGAAGAGGGACAGACACGCAAGACTAGCCATAGCGCATTTTAAACTTACTCTGAAACAAAAGCCCACATTTTATACTGCTTTCCTGCACCTGGCACTTGTTTATATTGAAGTAGGAAAATATGACGAAGCTGAAGACAACTTTCGAAAGTTGTTTTCTGTGACAGCGCCTAAGGAAAGCTTGCTACAAGAGGCACATTTCCGCTATGGCAAATTTCAGGAATATCAAAGGAAATCAAAAGCTGATGCCATTAAGCATTATAGAAAAGCAACACAAATAGGACAGCCGTCATATATAAGGGACAAAAGTATTAATTCTTTAGAGAAATTGGCTACAATGAATCTTCAGAGAAATAAATTTGACAAGGAAGCCCTCAGCCTCCTGGAATATGTCCACAAACTGAAAGGGGAAGTGCAGGCAGCTGGGGATACCACGAGCAGGCCTGAGCCTGGCTCCGCACTCCCAGACGAGAATGCCACGGGAAGCAATGCCTAAGAACTGAAACCCCAGGCACGTTCACTTTTCATTAGCTTTTCCATGAATTTTTATTCTGTTTGAGGATTTCAGAAGCATGTGTTATGAAGTTTGTTGCATTTCTCAGACCTGGCGGGGCATCATTAGCTGTATTCGGAAAATAGCGAAGCAGCACACATGTGCACCTCAGGGGCTGGAAGTGACTATTCAGGTGACTGCTATAGAGGAGAAAAAAGCTTGCTGAGTACATCTGTAGCAAATATAAATCTAGATTTACGTACACCAAGGTGTTTAATTCTTGTTTTATCAAGCATTCACAGGGCTTTATAAATAAATACCAAATAAGATGAATGGGAAACATGTTACTCCAACTTTACGCCGTTTATAATCTAGTGAGAGAGAGAATTAAACATTTACTAACGAGAAGTCAGATTTCTCCATGAGGATGTTTCAACTTTAATTCATTGTCAAACTGTTCCAAGCCCACTGTAGGTTCTTTTAGCTTAGTGATTTCATTTGAAGCACTATTTAAATCATTTGCTGATATTGATCCAACTAAAACATAAATGTACAAAGCACGTGAAATGATCTGAAAGCAGACCTCATTAATGCAAAATAAACTTCTGGATGATGTTACGTGTTGTGTGAAAAATTTTCTTAGTTACTCTTTTCTCATTGTGGGACAAAATACCCAATCTGCCAAATTAAAGGAGGAAAGGTTTATTTAGCTCACAGTTTGTGGAGGTTTAAGTTCAAAATCAGCTACGTCCAAGGCAGAACAGCACATGGCAGAGGGCAACAATTCATGGAGATAGAAAAAGCCACCGGGTGAACAAAACGACAAGCCTGCTTCTGCCCCTTATGGTGTTTGCAGGCTACCTCTCTGGGAACAGGCATAGCACTCCCCTCTTATCACCAGCATTGGATCATGACTCAATCACAAACTCTAGATTCAGCCACCTCTCAGAAGCCCAACCCCATGACTGCATGCGGCTTTGGGGAGACATCTGGACACAACCGTCACAGGAATGCCTGACGATCTCTAGGGAACACGATTTAGTTAGCAGCACATCTCTTTCACATCCTTTCCAACTCAAGAAGAGACCTGTGCTCTTCTCAGGGCTCAAAAATATGGCAGTGTAGTATAGTCTGGGTGCTTTCAAGCAAAACAACTAATAGGAAAATGTAGGCCGTAGATGCTCTTTCATTTTAATAATAATATTGCCAAATTTATACAAGAGTATCTTCAAGCATTACCAAGAAGTTTCTTTAGCTAAATTGTAGAAGCTTGTTATTCCCATGTAAATGACTGACAGAATTCCAAGTGGAATCTTTCTTTAGACTGACTCCCTCAGTCAAGCCCACTATAGTCCCTCCCACTCATTATTGTCATCAGAGCCCCAGCCCATGCCTTTGCTGACTGCTCTGCAGACACCACTGCTGTCTACAGCCTCTTGTGGACTACTGTGACCCCCAAGGTCTCTGTCCTCATGATGCAGCTATAGCTGGATCCGCACTGGGAATCAAGATATCTACTCTCCTGCCTGCTCCAGCCTCAGTTACCTGCTTCATCAGTCCAATTTCTGTTACTACAACAAAATACTTGTCTATTTGCCAATATTACATTCAGCGAATAGTGAAAAGAGTCTCATTTTGTTCAGAGTTTTGAAGGCTGAAAGTCCAAAGACCCTGGCAAGGACCTGACAAAGCCCTGGCTATACTGAGTCACCATGGACAGCATCATGCAGGTGCCCAAGCCAGGGAGCAATTGCATGGCAAGGCAGCAAGCTGGAGAGCAGGGACAGACAGCTTTGCCACCACTAGACTTCATCTCTTAAACATCACACCGCTTCTTAACACTACTATGCCAAGGACCAAACTTCAGATGCCTGAAACTCAGGGAACACACTCAAACCTTACCAAGAGCATCCACTGTCACCCTGTGGTCTCAGATGGGGTTTTGTTCCCAGCCAGCACAAATGTGATAACAGCTACTTGCACTCAGAAGTTCCTTGCTGAAGGGATAAGTCTTCTCTGATGCGGCCCTTAAAATCTAGTCTCGGGCTTAGGAGATAGTTCAGCAGCATAAGCGCCTGCCTGACAAGCAAAGGACCCAGATTCATCCCCACCACCACATGCCGTGCTGGCCCCGGAATCCCAGGCACCCTGTGGGGGCCATGAAACAGGACATGGTAGCCCATGCCTGTAATCCTAGCACTGGGGAAACTAAGACAGGAAGATCACTACAGAGTCCAAACTATGTAGGGAGATCCTGTATCAACAAACAAAAGCAAAAGCAAAACAAAACAAAAATCACTCTCCATCCAGCTTCTCCTAAATTTCAGTACATCCCCAGCTTCTCCTGATCAGTTCGCATTTGTTGTTCTCCTGTCTGAAGTCACCCTTGTGTCTCTGGCAGGCTGTGTTGTGCTGTTTAATTTTTCAATTAGAAATATACAATGAGCAGTAGTTCTCAACCAGAGCGGGGCAGCGGTTGCAAGAGGACAGGTTTTGCCTGTCAGAGGGTTCTGGCAATGCCAAGAGTGGGTTTTCAGATGTCACACTTGTGGGTTAATGGTGACACCTGGTGGATGTACACACAGATGCTGCTTGAATGTCCTACAACAAAAAATGAGGTTGCCCAAAATGTCAATATAGCCATATTGAGAAATTCACACTTGCATCATTTCTTGAAGAATTATGTATAGTGAGTGATTACTCTGTTTGTTTTGGTGTCAGGAATTGAACTTAGGAGCTTGCCAGGCAAGCACTGTGCTGCTGAGCTATAACTTTGAGTGATTAAGATTCTTAAGCCATAAGAGTAGATAACCTAGATTTTTTCCTCTTAAGTTTTACTACTGCTTGCTTAGTTACAATTCACTTAAACTTCAACAAACAAAGGCTACATATTAACCGAAGTGGAAAGGCTACATATTAACTGAAGGACTATTTTTAGAAATATTTACCTACGTTGTTTCAGTTTTCCACCAGGCTTCAGGTTTGTTGTCATATTTCAAATTTTCTTTCCTGTTCCCCCAGTTATTGCATCTAACATCTTAATGGTATACATTCAAAAGATAATAAAATCAGTTCCCTCAAAAATGTAACCAGTCCTCTCTGTTACAAAAAAAATATTCAAATCCTTTCTGTTAACATATTCAACACTCATTTACTAGTCAGGTGTTTGTTTCTTCTCAATCCTGAAAGTGTATATTCCTTGGGAATTTTTTTACACACATTTTTAAGTGGTTTGATTAAGATTCTTAAGCCGTAAGAGTAGATAACCTAGATTTGTTTTCCTCTTAAGTTTTACTACTGCTTGCTTAGTTACAATTCACTTAAACTTCAACAAACAAAGGCTACATATTAACCAAAGTACAACTAAAGGAAAAAAAAAAAAAAAGGGAAGAAGTATGGACGCGGAAGGGAAGAAAGGGATCACTATACTGGAAAACTTTGCAAACTTTAGACTGCTGTTAAATTTTGCTGCATTCTTCATAAGAAGGAAATTCTGGGTTTATTTTTTCAATGTCAAATAAATCTTTCAATACTTCTTCTAAAATGTGTTTTCCCACTTTAGATAAACAGTGGGTAACCTACAGTCCCACCACGCACACTGCCGCTCTACCCTCCAGCCAGGCCAGACCATCTGTGCTTGCTGAGCATGCCCCCACCTCGGGGTCCTTGCTGCCTTGGGGGTAGGGGCTCCAGTCTTTGGAGTGCCTGTGACCCCTCAGCCCCTGGTGTTTTGGCTCTTGAATGTTACACCGTTGGAGGCTTCTAGCCACCCTACCAACTCCTCAGCAGCAGAGGTCTGAAGCACCTTTGGCAGCTACCTGAAACTTTTCCAGCAGCTTCTATGGCCTCTTTGGGGTGTTTTGCAGGTCAGCATCAAATGACCCATTCAACAGTACCAGTCTCTGCTGGGGATTTCTGGACTTCTTCAGGGCTGACAGCACCTGGTGTTGCCATTTCTGTTTAAGTGGCTGGCTCTGTTCACACTACCCAGGAGAACAATCTGCAGGAGAAATGCTTTCTGGGTACCTGTGCTGTAGCGCATGGGGTCCTTATACCAGAGGAAGCCCTCATCAACTAAACAGGGGAATGTAAGGAAGCTCCCTTCACAGAGCGGGAGTGGGCTGCACATGAGCAGTCTTGTACATGGGATGGAACTTGGTTTTTGGTTTACCTGGAATCAAACTCAGGACCTTATGCTTGTTAGGCAGGTGCTTGTGCCACTGAGCTATAACCTGACTGTCTTAGATACTCTTCTCTTGTTGCTGGGACAAATACCCAACACTTAAAATAAAGGAAGGAAAACTTTCAGTTCATATTCAGCTGGCTCCAAGGCAGAGTGGCACATAGCAGAAAGCAACCTTTCATGGCAGCAGCAAAGAGCAAGAGCGCAAGGGAGGGGTAGCAGCAACTCGAGCAGCTAGCTTCTCTTTCCTCCTTACATTGAAATGCAAATTACCTGCCCAGGGCAGGTGCAGCATCCACACCCACAGTGATCAATCACAAACTCCAGAAGCTGCCCCAAGGCTGCAGGAGGCTTTAGAGGGGTGACTATACACAACCATAACACCAACCCCTTATGATGGAGCTTTTAAGGACTTTCATAGTAATGACCCACTAGTTCCAGCGGGAGTGGCTGCAGGCCAGAGTCACCTGGGAAGGTCTGTGTTCCAAGCCTGTCTCCAGGAAAGCAAGTATCTCCCAGAGCCGGGGCAGGATGACTAAGTTTGGCTAACAAGTAGTTTCTTAATTGACAGCGCCCACAGTTCTGGAGAAGGGGTAGGGCTGAAATCAAGACTGCTTCTGCTTCCCTGGGGTCTCCAGGAAAACCAACCATGCTGACTGTGGCCGGTTGCGGTGTGGGAACTCCAGGGACATGCCAGGCCCCAGTCCTCCCAATCACTGCAATATCAGGAGTGGTTTCCGGGCCCCTCCCTGGAGAAGTGGCCCAGCAAAGGGGAGGGCATTGCAGCTGCAGTCCCTGAAACAGGCTCCTGACAGCCAGGCCTGGGGAGCAGGGGCCGAGGCGACTAAGATCTGGGTAAAGGGGTGAGATGGGAAGGAAAATCCGGCCCA